GCTATAGGACTCTACTCGGTAATGTGCACATATGAGATCCCTTCAGTTTCATCTGCTTGAGATAGGGTTTACACTGAACTTTCTGTGGGCAAAAATCTAGCCCATTTTTAAAAATCTAATACTTGATCTTACATTCATTGAAATTTGTGTGACTTAAGCAAAATATTTTCCTATGTGGAGAGAATTTGAATATTTTGAGAATAAGGAATGCCATATAAGAATTTTTATTCATCTGGGCTAAAACATTAACATGTTGATTTAAAAAATAGATTTAGTAGGGGATTGTGACAATTACCTAATAAACAGATATGTGCCTGATTCATCATTCAGAACTTCTTCACTGTTCCCCTTTCTGCAGAAACTTGATATAGAAACTTGATATTTCCATTTGAAAACTTTTAGGAGCTCTTTTTTTTCTTTTAATTTTTTTTTTCTTTATTGATTTTAGAGAGAAAGGAAGGGACAGGGAGAGAGACATAGAAACATCAGGGAGAGGGAACATCGATGGACCGCCTCCTACATGCCCCACTGGGGAATGGGCCCACAACCTGGCCATGTTCCCTTACTGGGAATCGAACCGGCAGCCTCTTGGTACATGGGTCGATGCTCAACCACTGAGCCACACTGGCCAGGCTTTTAATAGAAATTTTGACAGAGCTTCACATGAGGTCCTTGTGGGGAAAAGGAACAAATGTGGGCAGAATGAGTTCTCTGTGATGGACTTGAGCCTCAGTAGCCATACCCAGAGAAGACTGATTAACAGATTGATATCAACCTGGAAGAATATTTCCACTGATGCCTTAAAAGGCCTATGCTGATTAAGTTTGCAGATAATATGAATTTGAGAAAGAAAACAGTATGTCGAAGTATCGGTATACAAAAAGGTTTTAGATTTGGGGGTAAGAAGCTTTTAGTCATTGTAATTGCAATATCCAGTCCATTGTGTGATAAAACAGCCCAAAAGGCAACTGAGGTCTTGGATTGCATTAGTATAAATGTAGAGTAGAATAGGAAGAGAAAGGTCATAATTCTTATCTGATCCTCCCTGTCCCACACACCTTTTAAAAACCATATTGTTATGTTTAGATTGGGGCACTACTTTATGTACTGGAAAAAAATCTGAGGTGCTGGGATGCTCGAAATATGTTGTAAGAAAGAGTTAAAAGGAATCCTAGTATTTATTTAGCCTTGAAGAAAAAAGTAGAAACTGTCATAAATTTTAAGGGCTGCTCTGTGGAGGAGGGGCTAGGTTTAGACCATGATAATCCCAGGAGGTAGATGAGGTTGAATCAGTGAATGGACTTCAGAGACAGATTCACCTCATTGAGAACTATTTCATTATTGGAGTTTTCTTAGAATAGGCTGCCTTGGGAGATCAGGAGAGGTTCTGTCATTCCCTTGTTGATAGGATTAGTTTTGGGTAAGGTTGGATTAGAGTGTCTAAAGTCCAGTGGTTGAGGACATATAATATACATGGTATCATTATATCACCCTACCACAGTTCCACCCCCTGCCACACACAAACACACACATGTACGCACGTGCATACACACAGGCCACCAAACTGATAGATTTTTTTTTATTTTTTGAGTAATTAGGCTTGAAAAGGTGATTTTTTAAAAAAGATATGTTTCAGTAACTTATCATTATTTAGGTATAATTTTCTCTGATATTTTCCTTTTTTTTTAATGCTAGTTATACACCAGTAAATTGATAACAGATCCCAGAAATGTGAGTATGAGCTATGGTTATTACCTTCAGGAGGCTCAGATTAATGAAGAAAAAAGTGGCACAGCGATAATGTGTTAAGATATGTAGTATGCAGAAGGACAGTTAACCATTTGCTATTTTTTTAAAAGCATCTTTTTTATTAAACTTTAATAATCTTTAATTTATAGAATGACTTCTTAGATTTCTCAGCAACTTAGGTAATCCATTTCAATAGAGGAGGATCAGAGGCCCAGAGAAATTAAGTAGTTTGCTTGAAGTTCTAGAACCAGAACCCAGGATTCTTACTAACAAAGATTCTGTACTTATTACTATATAATTCTTTTTGGAGTATTCCCTAGTGATACACTAAGAAAGTAACTATCGTTGTCAAACTGTTAGAAAGTTATTTATGTTGGACTCACATTTAATCTGATAACCAAAGTTTACTACTTTCATTTCAAAACCTTAAAATAGCTAACATATTTTTCCTTCTTCAAGTTAAAAATCGAGTTTGTTCTTTTGTTCTTCATATGACAATACTTTTCACCATTTTAGTTACCTCCTCTATATCGTCTCATGGAATGTATTTATTGATTTATGGTACCCAGAAATTGTACCAATATTTGAGTTAGGATCCCACCTGGAACGATGCTATCTTTCATATATAAACTCAGTTTATAACAAAGCTAAACAAACTACTAATAGCCTACTGTTGACTGGAAGCCTAACCAATAGCATAAGCAGCCAATGAACACATTTGTATATGTGTTATAACACTATATTAATACAATGAAGTAAGTTAGGAAAAAAGTTATTAATAGTAAAGAACATGTCCTGGCCAGTGTTGCTCAGTAGTTAGAGCGTCAGCCCTTGAACTGAAGTGTCTTGGGTTCAGTTCCCTGTCAAGGGCAAGTACCTGGGTTGCAGGTTAAACCCCAATCCAGTTGGGGCACTTGCAGGAGGCAACTAATTAATGTATCTCTTTCGCATCAGTGCTTCTCTCTCTCCCCCCATCTTCCTCTCTGCCTTCCACTCTCTCTCTGAAAATCACTGAAAAAATATCCGCGGATGAGGATTTAACAAAAATAGTAAGGAACAGAAAATACATTTACAGTACTGTACTATATTTATTGATACTGTAAGTTTATGTCACCTGTTTACAAGATGAAAAAAATGTTATAAGTGGACCCATGCATTTCAAACCCATGTTGTTCAAGGTTCAACTGTAATTGGAACATATTTTTAAATTTTACATCTTGACTCATTGAGTCAGTAAATTGAGAAGGTAATTCATTATTGGTAGATTAAAGAAAAACAGAAAGTGAAATTCCTTAAGAGCCTTTCTTTTACTTTTCTTTCTTTCTCTAAAGCCAAGGATGTGACTATACCCTCTTCAACATTGCCCCAAATATGTTCTCAGAATTCATTCCTACACCTATCATTTTGCATATTTTATAGAAGTTGTGCCTGTGTTTGAATTTTCACCGACCTGTCTTTGAATTTAAGTGACATCTTTTTTTTTTTATCCTCACCCGAGGACATTTTTCCATTTTTTGTTCAGGTAGAGTGGGAGGGAGAGAGAGGAACAGAGAGAGGAACAGAGAGAGAGAGAGAAACATCAATGTGAAAGGAACACATCAAGTGGCTGCCACCCACACAACCGACCAGGGCTGGGGACAAACTGCAACCGAGGTACGTGCCCTTAGCGGGAACCGAACCTGGGTCTCTCAGGACCGCAGGCCAACGCTCTAACCACTGAGCCAAACCGGCCAGGGCTTAAGTGACATCTTAATCTTGATTCTAAAACCAGGAGTACACCTTTATTCAGGTTTAAGTGTAATTGGCTTGTTTCTCTTAATCCTTTCAATTCACTTGTTCAGTATCATTTAGTTCCAGTGCATCTAAGGCCCTTTTGAAAGCCAGGCTATCTGGATACTTATGTGGAAGCTTTTATACAGGGTGGAACAAAAGTAGGTTTACCGTTGTGTATATGGGAAATAATACCATCATAATAAACAATAATACAAGAACCGACTTTGTTTCCTATACTCACAACTATAAACTTACTCTTGTCCCACCCTGTATATCTCTAGAGGAGGAATTTTAAACTTCTGGTTTAAAATATGAAGTGGGAAAATAAAAATTAAGGTTTGTTTGAGATGATAAGCATCTTTAAAAAAAAAAAAATTTTTTATCCTTAAGGACATTTTTCCATTTTTGTTCAGATAGAGTGGAAGGAAGAGAGAGAGAAAGATCGATGTGAAAGGGACAACATCGGGTGGCTGCCTCTCGCACAAACCCAACTGGGGCCGGGGACAAACTGCAACCAAGGTACATGCCCTTAGCGGGAACTGAACCCGGGTCTCTCTGGACTGCAGGCCGACACTCTACCCACTGAGCCAAACTGGCCAGGGCTGAGATGATAAGCATCTTGAATGAGTCAGTTTTTTCTTTTCATTCTTCCTGAGGCGTCACCATTATTTATATATTATAATGTAATTGTATTATAGTATTTAAAAATCATTTCATCTTGAAAAACTCAGTAATAACCTTGTTTATCAGGCATACATATGTAGGTATATATAGCAGTAAGAAAAAAAACCCAAACATTTATGCCCTGGCCGAGTGCTCAGTTGGTTAGAGCATTGTCCCAATATGTCAGGGTTGTGGGTTTGATCCGGTCAGGGCACATACAAAAATCAACCAATGAATGCATGAATGAGTAGAACAGCAAATCTTCCTCTCTCCCTTTCTCTTTCCCTCCTTCCCTTTCTCTCTAAAATCAATACATTTTTAAAAAGAAGAAAAACCATTTACAGTTTTGGTTTGTGCACATGTGATATCTCTGAATAATGAATATAAGTGGTAGTTTGGATCATTTTGCAGTTTTATTTATGTGTGTTTGGGGAGGTAGGAGGTTAAGTGGGGAAAGAATAATATTTGAGTTATCACTGAGGTGAGCAATATGAGAATTGTAGTTTGAAATACTTTTGGTTTAAGCTGCACATTCCTGTAACAAAATGTGAAATTTTTTGCCCTGTCCATGTAGCTCAGTTGGTTAGAGCATCCTGCCAGTACACCAAGGTTCCAGACCCTGGTTAGGACACATACAAGAATCAACCAATGAATGCATGAATAAGTAGAACAACAAATCTGTGTGTGTGTGTGTGTGTGTGTGCCCCACCCCCTCTAAAATCAATCAATAAAAATAAGACAAGATAAAAATGGAAAGTTTTTTGGCTGGGATGGAAACTTGAGAATTTTTCAGAGAGAGAGTTCTAGTTCTGTTTATGAAAATGAAGTGTATTCTAATATCTTAAAAATGTCCTACATTTTTATTATCTTAATTAGAATCTTTTCTTTCTACAGAAATAGGAAGGTCGTTGATTATTCACAGTTTCAGGAATCTGATGATGCTGGTAAGTTTTGTGATTTCAATAAATTATAAGTTGGACCCTAATAGTGGAGAATCACCATTATGTACTTTTTATAATGCTTTTGGAGTAAGTTTTATTCTTTATTTTTAGACTTGTAAATTATGACAAGATCTGTGTCACCCAAACAGAAGTTGAACTTGCATGGATTTTAACTTTTCCCTAGTAAATCATTGATATAAACATTTGAATAATTTTTTTCTTATTTGGTTTTGGAGTCCAAAGTTTAAGTGTGCAATATTTCTAATGTGGTGTTCATTAGTTAATATATTTCTTGCTATAATCACAGTTAAAACTTGTACCTTTTAATAGGGAGTATTTTGGTTTTTGCATAATAAAGTAGTAACTAAGATGAAAGTATTTTGTGGAAAAACTTTAATGTGTGAACTGATTCATCATAGAATTAGTACTGTATCTTAAATCTTAGCCATAATAGGTTTCTTTAGAATATGATGTTTCTAATCATTATTTTCCAGATGCATTTACTTCTTCTTTTTTCTTTCCTTTTTTTAAACCTAATTTTACTTTATCAAGATAATATGTGCATTTTAGGAAAACTTAGAAAATGCAAAAATATATAAGGAAGAGTGAGAAAAAAAACCCTGTAATCCCACCTCCCAGAGGGAATATTAACATTTATTAAATGCTTGCTATATATTTGCATTTATTTATTTAATCCTCAGAACAATCCTGTTAAAATAGGATGTTATATTATTATTTACATTGTATAGATAAGGAAACTGAGACAAACATCCTTTATCCAGCAAATGACCATTTTAACCATTTTGTTGAAAAAGCTTTTGACTTTTTTTTTCCTTTTAAAAATCTAGTTAAGGTCTTTCTATAGGATTTTTGGGTTCTGTCCCTTTCCCACCCCACCCCCACTTACGAGTCTCTTCCTCATGTTATAAGAAGTTACTTGAAAAATTTCTGTTAATGGTCATATGATATTCCATAATGGAATTTATAATGTATCCAACCATTTAATAATTGCTGAAGCCCCATGAATAATGGTGTAGTAAACAATTTTGTAAATAATCATCTTTTAAGGTGGGGTAATTTTCTTTAGTTTAATAGGCTTTTGAAATTGGCATTACTTTGCATGAATAAGTGGAACAACAAATTGATGTTTCTCTCTCTCCGTCTCTCTCTCTCTCAAATCAAATTTCTTGCCCTGGCCCAGCGGTTAGAGCATCAGCCTGCGGTCCAGAGATACCCAGGTTCAGCTCTCGCTAAGGGCACATACCTTAGTTGCAGTTTGTCCCTGGCCCTGGTTGGGTCTTGTGGGTGGCAACCACTCGATGTGTCCCTTTCACGTCAATGTTTCTCACCCGAGGATATTTTTTCTTTTTTTTTTTTTGTACAGATAGAGTGGGAGGGAGAGAGAGGAAGGGAGAGAGAGAGAAACATCGACGTGAAGGGACACATCGAGTGGCTGCCACCCGCAAGACCAACCAGGGCCGGGGACAAACTGCAACCGAAGTACGTGCCCTTAGCGGGAACCGAACCCGGGTCTCTCCGGACCGCAGGCCGACGCTCTAACCGCTGAGCCAAACTGGCCAGGGCTCACGTCAATGTTTCTCTCTCTTTCTCTCCCTCCCACTCTACCTGAACAGAAAATGGAAAAATGTCCTCGGGTGAGGAATTTAAAAAAATAATAATAAAATTGCTTAAAATAATTTATTTTAAAAAGAAAGAAATTGGAGGTATTTTCCTTAAATGCCAGACTATACTATACTTAATACTTTAATTTAAAAGTAATTTACTTGATAACAGAAATTGTATTAGGATTGTAGAATTGTGGGTTCTTTACATTATAAAATGCTTATAATATACCCATATTGCTACAATAGTTTTCAAATAAATATGAAAATGTGGAAACATAGGAAAATCTTTAATAAACTGAAAGGGTAGGATATAAAATGAGAAGAGATATTTGGCTATGGATATATTAAAATATACACATGAGAACTAGGGGGTAATATGCAGAAATGGAAATGATTAAGTTAAGGTTGTGGGACTGAGAAAGAAGTGTTGTTGTGTTTTTGTTTTGTTTTTTAAAACACGTTATTTGGAAAATCCTGCCCTTCTCATTTAAATAGCATGAGAGATAATTATCTCAGAAAATGCAGTGGTAATTTCTGCATGTAAAAATAATGTAGTTTATTGATTTTTGAAAAATGCTGTGTAGATGAAGATTACGGAAGAGATTCAGGCCCTCCAGCTAAGAAAATACGATCATCTCCACGAGAAGCTAAAAATAAGAGGCGATCTGGAAAGAATTCACAGGAAGATAGGTAAGAGGCATTGTTGATTTGTTTCTGCTTACACTGTTAACCACTCTGAGGTGAGGGTAATTTCTGATCTCTTCATTTCTTTTGGGAAGGTGCTTATGGTTCACTTAATGTTTTACATATTTCATCTTAACTTAGGCAGGGCTTCTGAGTTTAGACGTTGGCCTCTTTAAGGTCATGAGGCTTGCTTGGACTCAACCTGGAGTCTAAGATGATCTTTGAGAATGCCTTTGTTGCTACCTCAAACCTCTGAACATAAACAGAAAATTTATTTAAGTATGTAATTTTTTACCTAAGGTTAGTATTGACATTTTCATTGTAGTCATAGCAAAGAATGAGTGACCTTTCACATTTAGTCACCAGATCACTTGGTAGAATCATAACTAACATAACTAAGGCTTACAGAATTTTAAGTGTATAGTCTGCTGAGTTTTACTGCCTATAATCAGTTCTTCTTTGTTTAGATAATTTAATCATTTGGGGCAGTTTCCCTTCCCTTAGTTTAATAAATGAGTTTAGATGAGTTGTAATTTTAACTAAAATTGCCTCATGAGACCAGGATGTTGTAGCTTTCCCCTCTGTTCTTACAGGTGTACATATACTTTCTCATACTCAATGTGGCAAGACCTCCTTGATGATGATGATGATGATGGTGGTGATGATAGCTACCATTTATGATTGTTATGTTCTAGTCTCTATTATGTGCTAATTTATATTTATTATCGTTTAGTGTTCACAAATCTCTGTTAGAGATTGGAGGGGTTCAGTGATTTATCCAAGGTTACCCAGCAAATGGACCAACAGGTTTTGAAACCATGCCTGTTGGTCTCCAAAGTCTATTTTTTAACCATTGGGCTATACCACTTCCAAATCATACTATTAAATATGAGCAGTTCAAAGACATGCAATAATATTTCTTTTTTTAAAAAACATTTTTATTGATTTTTAGAGAGAGGGGAGAGGGACAGGTAAATAGAAACATCAATGAGAGAGAAAGATTGATCAGCTGCCTCTTGCATGCCTCCTACTGGGGATCTGAAACCCAGGCATGTGCCCTCACTGGGAATCAACCCAGACCTCTCAGTCCGTGGGATGATGCTCAGTCCACGGGATGATACTCAGTCCACTGAGCCACACTGGCCAGGTGGAATGAGCTTTTACATAGCCTGTTATAATGTCTCAGTGTAATTAATATCTAGCCTAAATTTTTCCTTGTTGTAGTCATTTGGTTTTATTAGCCTCTCCAAAATGTCAGAAGTGGTTGAAATAAATACAGCTGTTATTGCCATTTGTACGAAGTGATTTGTATGTTTATTTCCTCAGACCATATTATGTTGATTTTTCTATTGGTCTCTACTAAAAGTTGAGCTTTTACTTGGCTTTGCTGTAATGGAATTTGAGGATTAATGCTTTCTATAAACTCAGTAATAAAAGAACTAGAGAAAAATAATATAATTCTTCATCATTGTCATAGACTTGTGAATTAAATGCTTATTTTGCATAAAACATTTATATAGAACAGTCACAGGTTTCAGAATTACAGTATTTCTTGGATCAGATTGCTTAGTAAAGACATATGTTTGTTTATTCTCTTTACTTAGGAATCTTGGGTTTGATAGTTTGTTGTTAAAGTGTGGTCAAGATTATGGAAAATACCAAAAGAGATTTGCAAGACCTGCTGTTTAAGAAAGGAAATCTATGAAGACAGTTTTTAAAAAAATATATTTTATTGCCCTGGCCGGTTTGGCTCAGCGGTTAGAGCGTCGGCCTGCAGTCCAGAGAGACCCGGGTTCGGTTCCCGCTAGGGGCACGTACCTCGGTTGCAGTTTGTCCCTGGCCCTGGTTGGTCGTGCGGGTGGCAGCCACTCAATGTGTCCCTTCACATCGATGTTTCTCTCTCTCTCCCTCCCGCTCTATCTGAACAAAAAATGGAAAAATGTCCTCGGGTGAGGATAAAAAATATATATATATTTTATTGATTTTTTTAGGGAGAGAGAGATAGAAATATTGATGTGAGAGAGAAACATCGATCTGCTGCCTCCTGCATGCCTCTCTCCCCAGCCCCAAACTGGGGATCAAACCCACAACCGGGCATATGCCCTGACCAGTAATTGAACTGGGACCTCTCAGTCCATGGGATGATGCTCATTCCACTGAGCCACACTAGCCAGACTGAAGACAATTTTTTATGTATGACTGGGGATTTTTGTTGTTTGTCACAATTTCTCATAAAATGTTAGCGCTGAAGAGTACCAAGTGATTTTCCTGAGATCATAAAACTAATTAATAACAAAGACAGGAGGCTAGAATCCAGATTCCTGAGTTAAAATTTGTGAGGACATAAAATTTGCATCTTTGTGACTTTAAAATTGTTTTATAAAACTTTTCATTGAACTTTTGTTTTTAATCCTCACCCAAGAATATGTTTTTATCGATTTAATATGAGAGAGAAGCATTGAGATACATTGATCAGTTGCCTCTCATACATGCCCCGACTGGAGATCGAACCTCAGTGCAGATATGTGCCCTGACCAGAAATTCAACCCATAACCTTTTGGTTGGTACAAGGCATGCTCCAACCAACTGAACCACCCAGCCAGGGCTCATTGAACTTTGAAATTCCTTATTTTATGTTTCAGTGATCTTGAGTTCACTTTTATTTTCTCTAGGATACAAGGCAGGCCCATGTACTCATGTTTCTGATGTATAGAAATATTGGAGGCAGAAAATATTTAGTTAATATTTTTTTATTTTGTTTTAGATAAATATCTGGGCATATTGTAATTTTTATAACTGAATTCCATTTTCCTTTACTAATTGTATTTAGTGTTTTTTGCATCTATATTTGGTGCTGTCCATTTATTTGCCTGCTTTACCACCATTGACACATTATGTAATTGCAGTATTTTTATTTTCTGCCTCTAACAACAGAGAATTTTTTTATTAAATGTTTTTGTGAACTAGGCCTTATCTACAGGTGAGAAATGTTCAGCCTGTGTTGTGATGCCTTCTTTTTTCCCTGTGGGTTTTTGGAAACGATATTTTTCCAAAAGTAGATAAAAATTGTGCTTTTTCACCAGTATCCCTATAAAGTAGGGAAATAAAGGAAACAGTTTTACTCCTCATCATCATTTGGATTTCATACATAAAGGGAGTTTTTTTTTTTTTTCAATGTTCTTTAGTTAGCTACTAGATCTACATTCACTTAGATTTTGATCTAATAACTTAAATTTTTTATTCCTTCCCCTTATAGTGAAGACTCAGAAGAAAAAGATGTGAAGACCAAGAAGGATGATTCTCACTCAGCAGGTAATAAACCATATTTAATGTAATAGGTATAATTCTCTTTATGTATTTATTAGTGGACTCTTTTTTAATCCTCACCTGCAGATATTTTCCCATTTATCTTCAGATAGAGTGGAAGGAGGGAGAGAGTAAGAGAGAGGGAGAGAGGGAGGGAGGGAGGGAGGGAGGGAGGGAGGGAGGGAGAGAAACACCGACATGAGAGGGACACATCAACTAGCTGCCTCCCACATGACCCTGGCCAGAGCCAGGGACAAACTGCAACTAAGGTACGTGCTCTTGACCGTAATCAAACCCACAACTCTTTGGTCCAGGGGCCGACGTTCTAACTGCTGAGCCAACCCGGCCAGGGCTATTTAGTGGACATTTTAATACGTGGTTTCATAGTAGTGCCTGGCAGTGTTATAAATAGTGGAATTTCAAAGATGTTTCCATCTTTCAAGAGCTCATAGTGATTTTCAGTCCTGGTGGCTTATTACAGTCACCTGTAAAAGGTTTCATTTTGTTTTTTTAACATAATTATTATGCTCCTTCCCACCTCAGGATTTCTGAAATAGTTCTAGGTGGGATTTTTTGTTTTTTGTTTTTTGTTTGTTTTTTTAAGTATTTACAGGTTATTTTTATGTGTAGTCAAGATTGAAAACCATTTATATGAATAAAAGACATCAAACTAAATAGAATAATAGTATATAATACTAAGTGAAATAGAGGCATAAAAATTGGGGAATGATCTACTCTGTGTTGAAAAGAAAACAAAGGTTAGTTAGTTTCAATCTTCCTTTTAGCTAGGAAGTTAATTCTTTGAAACAGTAGCCACAGGGAAAGTCTTTTCTGTAAGAATTTTAACTTAAAAGAATGGATGAGTCTGGTCGGTATGGCTCAGTGGTTGACTCAAGGCACCAAGAGGTCGCCAGTTTGATACCCGGTCAGGGCATATGCCCAGATTGTAGGCTAAATTCTCGGCGGGGCGGGGGGGGGGGGGGGTGGCATGCAGGAGGCGGCCAATCAGTGTTCTCTCTCATGGATGTTTCTCTTTCTCTCTCCCCTCCTCTCTCTCTCTAAAATCAATAAAGAAAGAAAAAAAATTTTAAAAATATTGATGCGAACACTCCATGGCCAAATACAATATTAAATCTTGATTACTTATTGTTGGGGTTTTTTTTTTTTTGTTTTAATATAACCTATCTAAGAATTAAGAATTTGTTCCATATTGCCACAAATCACTTTAGTTTTGACCTTCAGTCCCCTACATTTGCCTTCCTGGATTTAAATGATACTGCTGTGTAGCTAATACATAGAGGGTAGACAAAGCTCCACTGAATTCACTCCACTGAGCTGTTTTACTTTAATTTCTTTTCAAGTCTGCTATCTGACTGCCAAAGTTGAAAAGAAACTATATTAACCTTTTGTACAGTCTAGTGATGTTACGATAATATAATAGGCACTTTTTTTGTTGTTGTTCATTCTCACCTGAAGATAGTTTTTTTTCCATTGATTTTTAGAGAGAGTAGAAGGGAGGGAGGGATGGAGAGAGAGACAGGCAGACAACGATATTGATTAGTTACCTCCCGCATGTGCCCAGATCAAGACTGGGGATAGAACCACAACCCAGGTATGTGCCCTTAACCGGTAATCGAACCAAAGACCCTTCGTTCTTGGGCTGAGGCTCTAACCACTGACCCACACTGGCCAGGGCTAATAGGCGCTTTTATTAACTTAACCTTGTGTAACTTAATTTGATTCTCTTAAATTTATTTAATTTATTGATCACTTCAAGATGAATAACTCTGTTATTAGTGTTAAACGTAGCTCCTACTGGGTGGGTTTAGTTTTGAGTTTGTCAAAGTCAGCTTTATTCCCCGTTTCTCTTTGTCTCTAGATGAGATTTTTGACAGTGAAAGTGATGACTTAAACACTGACCATGGCAAGGCTAATAGGACTACAAGTGTTTCCAAAAGAGTAACAGCTTTATTCTTAACAGAATAAGGGAGCCTCAAAGTCCAGGAAAAGGGCTGTAGGTAGAGATTAATACAAATATACCTTGATCTAGAGCCAGTAGGCCGGCAGCCTGCCCTTTAACCAGATTTATTCACAAACACAACTATGTGTTGAAATTTTTTAAAATTAAGACTATGTGTGTGAAAGCCAATTTTAAAAAAATTATTTATTGAATTTAGAGAGAGGAGAGAGAAATGTCGATTTGTTGTTTTACTTATTTATGCATTCATTGGTTGATTCTTGTATATGTCCTGACTGGGATTGAACCCACAATCTGGGCAACCTGAACCCACAACTGGGATTGAACCCAACAAACTGAGCAATGTGGCCAGGGCTGAAAGCAGTTTCTTTTTTATAAACTTGTTAAGAGCTAATTGATCTAAATATGTGTTTTAAAGGTGGCCACACCTCACTCATTCAAAAGAATAGTAGTTTGGCATTATTTTAGGGTCTACGTGTTTTGTGTCTTATAATAAATATAATTGGAAGATAATATTCCTCTCTTCTATTTAAAAATATTTAACTTAGTTTTTAAAAACTGAGCATAGATTTGAATGTAATTGAGAATTTTAGGGCAAAGCAATGATATAAGTTTAACGTGTGTTATAGGAAGCATGTGTTTACACCTAAATTCAGCTTTATTTTTACTTAAAACTACATGTGTAAATTGTTTTATATGTAATAGTGGGGTACATAATCTTATTCAAGTTCATTCTTTTAATTTTAGCCCCTCTTTTGTAGGCGTTGTTAAGGATAAATTTTATCCTTTTTTGAATGAAATAAAGCTGCAGGTTATATCTCATAATGGCCACTGCATTGACTTTTGTAGGTAGTTGTCAAATAAATACAACTGTTAGATCAGTGCATTATAACTTTGGTATTGCAGAGGACAGTGAAGATGAAAAAGAAGATCATAAAAATGTACGCCAGCAACGGCAGGCAGCCTCTAAAGCAGCTTCTAAACAGAGAGAGATGCTCATGGAAGATGTGGGCAGTGAAGAAGAACAAGAAGAGGAGGACGAGGCACCATTCCAGGAGAGTACGTAAAGTTGGCTTGTTGCCCTGGTCATGATTGTAGTATGTGACCTTGATTACTTGGGCATTTTGGAGGGGAAGATAAATGTTACAAACAGTCCCTTAAAGTACTCACTGTTAGAGATGACAGCGTTGACATTTATTGATACTGTAAAAGGTTCAAAGATTCTCATGACTGTGCTGTCCATCGTTTGTATTCAAATGCTTAATAAACAATTGTTAGAATAATCGTTACATGGCAGGTGTTGTGATTAAGATTTGTATTTTGGCCTTGTGGAAAAGGATGTAGACCTCCTCCCTGACAAAAAGTGTTAATAACAGGAGTGTTTCACAGGTTACTCAGATTAATTAGTTACAGACCAAGTCGATTCATTTTCATTTCCTTGGTCTTGCTGGTACTATGTGGGAATGATATAACTACCAAAAGTTGTTTGATGGCATCAATTTTTATTCAGATTGTTTTATCCCTTCCTATTTTCATCCTGCTCTTCCAATAAGTCAGTCATGTAACCCTCGAGTGTGTGCTAAACCCATCTTACAGGTGGGGCCACTGACATCTCCAACCAATTTGTAGTATAGCTGCAAATAAAATCCAAGAGTGTTTGAGTTCTAGATCCCATCCTCTGGTCATTCTTAGCACTCTCTCCCTTTGTTCACTTGGAAGGATGTATACATTAAGTTGGACGTTGAAATTCTTCTTTCCTCTCAGAAGATTCCGGCAGTGATGAAGATTTTCTAATGGAAGACGATGACGATAGTGACTATGGCAGTTCAAAAAAGAAAAATAAAAAGATGGTTAAGAAGTCCAAACCTGAGAGAAAAGAAAAGAAAATGCCCAAACCCAGGCTAAAGGCTACAGGTGAGTTCTGCAGAATTAAATTATTACTTTGAAATTTTCATGAACTAATAAACTTTCTCTACAGAAATTCTTCATTAGGGCTTGGCATTGGCCACATAGTTAAGAGTGAACGAATTCTGAAAGGATTCTTTCTTCTACACCTGGATATGTCACTTATTTATTAATCAAGACTCCAGACCCTCCAAGAGTCTGGTGGCTTAGCCCTGTTTTTTAACTGTTGCCAAACATAAGCAAGATTTGGGAATGACCTGTTTGTGTCAGGCAGTGTTAAAAACACAGCATACAACATAACCGTCATTGCCCTTTCCCACCGATACCCCAATCCTAGCAGCTAGTGAAATTGTGGAAATGTGCACCTCCAAAAGTTCTGTGTTCTGATTCCTACACCATCCTCTGTGCTTACAGAATAAAACCACACTTGAGCACATGCATTTATTTTCTTGAGGCCTTGTGGTTTCTGACAGATATTCTTCTAATCAGAGATAGTTTGTCATTAAATCAGAAAGCTAGATTTGCTTCTTTTTTTTAAACATATTTTGTTGAGAATATGAATACGAGGGTTTTTTGGTTCTGTTTTTAATTTTAATTTTATTATTATTTTTTAATTCTCACCCAAGGACATACTTAGAGGAAGGGAGAGAGAGAGAAACATTGATTGGTTGCCTCCCACATGTATTCCAACCAGGGATCAAACCCGAAACACAGACATGTGCTCTGACCAGGAATCAAACCAGCAGCCCTTCGGTGCACAGGACGATGATCAAAACCACTGAGCCGCCCTGGCCAGTTTGGTTCAGCGGTTAGAGCGTCGGCCTGCAGTCCTGAGAGACCCGGGTTTGGTTCCCGCTAAGGGCATGTACCTTGGTTGCAGTTTGTCCCCGGCCCTGGTCGGTTGTGCGGGTGGCAGCCACTCGATGTGTCCCTTCACATCGATGTTTCTCTCTCTCTCTCTCCCTCCCACTCTACCTGAACAAAAAATGGAAAAATGTCCTCGGGTGAGGATAAAAAATAAATAAAAAAAAAACCACTGAGCCACTTAGGCTGGGCTAGATTTGCTTTTTTTTTTCTTCATTCTGGCAAATGGAGCTGGTGATTTTTAAACCTTTTACTCATCACTTCTTACTGTTGGGATTCCTAGAACTGTCAAAAGTTATTTTATGGCTTCAGTTTCTGCTCAGGTTGTCATATTACTCTTTTTTGTTAATCCTCACCCATGGATACTTTTTCCATTGATTTTAATCTTTACTGTTGAAAGTATTACAGATGCCCCCCCCCCTTTTTCCATTGATTTTTAGAGAGAGTGGAAGGAAGGGAGGGAGATCCAGCCAGGGCCAAAGATCGAACCTACAATCCAGGTATTTGCCCTTGACCAGGAATCGAAACTGAGACCCTTTAGTCTATGGACCAGTGATCTAAACGCTGAGCCAAATGGGCCAGGGCTTCTTTCTTCTTAACCCACTTTTTAAACATAAACACCATTTAGTTTCACGACCCATTAAGGATGATGTACAGTTTTTTGTAGCATCCCGTTTCTTTATTATAAGCACTACTGCTAACATAACGTAACAGTGCTGATTAAAAGTGATTGGAAACCAGTAAATTGGGAGTGTTGTCTTTATAGATTTTATTCTTATAGATTGTTTTGTTTTGTGGCTGATTTTTATAAAGACATTTTCTTCTCTTCCCTTCCCCAAACTGGTATTTTTCTTCTCTCAGTGACGCCAAGTCCTGTGAAAGGCAAAGGGAAAGTGGGTCGCCCCACAGCTTCAAAGGTATCAAAGGAAAAGACTCCTTCTCCCAAAGAAGATGATGAGGAGCCGGAAAGCCCTCCAGAAAAGAAAACATCTGCAAGCCCTCCACCTGAGAAGTCTGGGGATGAAGGGTCTGAAGATGAAGCCCAATCTGGGGAGGATTAAAAGTGATGGTGGTTTGGAAGAGATTTTATTTAAAAAAAAAAAAAAAAAAAAAGGAAAAAAGAAAACGGGGGCAAAAAAAGAAAATCTACATAAGATAGAACATGGTTTTGGCTATGGCTTTGACTCATGGGCTTTCGATGCTTTTTTTCCCTTTTGTTGAAAATAACATTTTCTCTCTCTTTTTTTATTTTATTTTTATTAAGAAAACCTTTGTATGTTTAATTTACCTTTTTGTCTATTGGTCTTTTCTTTGCCACCACCCTCTCTTCCCTCCCTTTTTCAGTGAAAGCCATGTCAAATTAATCACTGGATTGACTGCTTCATCTTTTTATTTTTAAAGGCTGGTATACCACAGTTGTAAAGCAATAAGATTTGAGATGAACACTATGGAAATGTTGCTTTTTGCTAAACAGTAGCAAGTTGAGCAGTAATCAAAAAAACATAGAAGGGTATTAGTTCAAAATGATTGCTTCTTTCTCTACTTGGACTTTTTAAGAAATCAATTGTCATCTAATGCAAGTTTATTTTTTACCTTGGGGCAGGGCAGGGAGTGGGTTACCTGACCTTGTTTGAGGGTGGGTTTTTTTTTTTTAATTTCATCAATTGTTATTTCAAAGAGATTCAGAGCCAGTGATCCTTTTATTCTACTACAGTCTTGAAGGAATTAAAAGACAAAAACAAGGACTGCCAAAACTTAAATCACGCTTAATTTCCTATTTTATTCTCTAATGGTTCATGTTTTAAAATATATATGTATCCTGTTTCTTGAATAAATTTTTACCAAGGGTAAAAAACAAACCAAAACCCTAGAATTTAAATGGCAAGATCTATATATCACAATGGATTTCTTCTCAAACTGACAGTGTTTAGGTTTTAAGCAAATAAACTACCGGTTAATGTGAAACTCATTCACAAAGACTTGAGATTTTTTTTTCCTTCATGAAAACAGAATTGAAATTCCCTTATGCTATAAATATGCATGCATTCAGAGTCCAGGAACTGTGCTCTGTTTTTATTTGGAGATAGAACATTTCCCTTTTCATACACCTATCTTCCATTTCTTCATAGAAGCATGGTATGAAGTGCATCTCTCGGCTTCTTGCTACTGTGTGGGATACCACTGCACACCCACCCCCAGTGCCTACCAGCCCTGCTGTAGGACATGATTTCTCCTGGCTCTGTCTTCACTCACTTCACGTCTTGTGTTTGAAGGGAGTGTGTTAAATGCTGCTCCCACACCTTCAATTTGCTTTTTTCTTTTTACTGATGTGCCTACTTACTGCTCATGTTGCTTAAAGTAGGAGTTTAAGGGGTTCCGCAGGGCTAGAGAAAGCATGCATTCAGGAGGCCTATGTGCAGTCCATAACAGACTACATGCCTTATGAAAGCCGTCGGGAGATAGATCTGTATGTGTGATCCTCCACATCCTGAAACCATGAGCTTCTGGGAGCAAGGGTTAGGGGCCTTAGTGTGCTAAGAAGTTGAAAAAAAATTAGTGAAATTTAATCTCTGCTTTTTATCTAGATTTGCTTCCTCGATATTTTACTTAGCATTTTTCTTTCTTTTAATTACAAAATATTTTTCTCTCAGATAACATGGCTTTCTTGCAGATGTTCCGAGAACAAGTTATTTAAGGAATATTTTTACTCTGATTATTAAGACACTTTAAGAAATATTCTTACTTTGTGATTTAAAAAAACAAAACACCCAGTGATAGAGAGTCATTTCACTGTTGTACTGTGTGTTGAAGAATGAATTTGAAGATTTTAGTACTTGGCCAAAAATGCGAAGCTTGAACATTAGTAGCAGTTGGATCGTTAGTTATCTAAAGATTATTCTGTTTGCTTTAGTGGGTTTGTTCAGGTATCCAATTTTAACAAGGTTTGTGTTCTAGCAAGAGACCTACCAGTGTTTCCACCATGCACTTCTATTTTTAGGGGTTTATAACTTTGTCTTGCATTCCTAGTAACATTTGGGCTTTTCTTAGATTATGTTTTGTGAAAATTGGTGGGGGGTGTATTAAAACTCTAGCCTCGGTATTTTATGTAACACAGTCTCTTTAATGTATTAATCTGCACTAATATCTCTGATATAGGCACATACTTTACAGGTAATCCTGTCTTCTAAGTTCCTTGTGTGTATCTGGTTGGGCTTTTTGTTTGCGATCCTTTTTTTAAAAAATTAATTCATGAGATTGAAAAATGTATTATACATATATTTCTAATAGACTGGACAAAAGGATCTGTGTCCCCAAGTGAGAGACAGGCTCTGAATGACCTTTGTTTTCTCCACTTGTTACTGATTTAAAACACTCTAGTCTTCCCCTCAACTCATGCATGCAAGTAGGAGGGTAGCTGTGGTGTCTCAACTGGAAACAGGTGCCCAATAGTCAGACTTGATGGTGATGTCAGGATGGGTTACAAGCTATAAGCTGATAGTGAGTGACTGGCCATTGGCACCACCCTTGACTAAACTCCCCCTCTCTCACGTGCCTATGGTGAACTGGCAGTAGCATCCCGTCTGTTCTGCAGCGCTCAGGAAGTGGGACATGAACTTTGAAGGTGCTCGTTGTGCTCTCTGAGTCCTCTGTTAGCTGTTAGGTTGGCCTCTGAAGCGGGTTTCGGCAGCTGTGCCGACTGACACTACATTCTAGTTCTTCGGGTTTTTTTCTGGACTTCCCAACACACACATGCACACGCACAACCTGACATGAATAGTTTACATACTATTAAATCTGTAACTTGCTGCTGCGCTCAGCCCTCCCCGCCTCAGATTGGATCAATGGAGTAGACCCAAAGGATACATTTTAATTTTAGTAATGGTAGATTTGTCCTGCTTTCTAAAAACCTCCTTTTATATCTGCACTCCCCATTGAGTCCAAAAAGGGAAATTAATGGGTGTATCCTCCTTTAGGGAGGTAATGAGTGGGAATCTTAATCTCAAAGAATAGTCGTGTATTTCCCATGAAGAAGGTTTGATACTGACTTGCCCCCCACAGTAACAGTTTGCCCCAGGTTGAATACTCAATTCAGTACTTATTCTTGGTAACTGGTTTAAGTAGCCTTTTCTTAAAGGTAACTAACCAAGAGAAACTGGAGGTTATAATCCAGTAATGGTTTTAATACTCTTGAGTATATATATGGTCAGCTAAACTGAACTTGACACTTTTTTTTTCCAAAAACTCTTTAATCCACGACCATTCAGGAAACATGAATTTCAGAGTACTGGTTGGGGAAAGGGAATAGTGCTTTTCTTTAAAGAAACCAGTTTAGTAGATGCTTTGAGAGTGTTAGGCAAGAGCAGAAGTTACTACCTGGAGCAACAGGGAAAGCTTTATATAAGGTCATGTGGCCCCTGTCACTGTGGTACGAATGGGAGATGGACTGTTCCTCCTGTGCCTGCCTCAGCAGGAGCTGCACTGAGAAGCAGAGACAGTCACCTCGGGGGTTTGGAAAGAAAACCTGGGCTCTGGGCTTTACGGCCTCAGACTCCGGTCTTCGAACAGAACGGGCCATGCACATTTCCTGTCAAGGCAAAGGGAAAATCTAAAAATCTCGTTGCTCTTTGGGTTAGAAAATTGCCCTTTTCTCTGTGCTTGGAGCTGGGTTTATTTGGAAAGGGGTTAGTTTATTTGAACATTGGGACATCAAGCTTATCTATAGCCAAATTTCAATCTGCAACCCATTTTCTCTTTGTCTTGGGGTTGAACTTGACGCAAGGTGACTCTTTTTGAATCCCAAATCCCTAAATTACACTTTATTTTCAAAGCCTAATTCACAAAATTCACAGTGGTGCTGACTGTGTATTAACCACTATTGGGAAAAGTCCCTTAAACCTGCCTGTTGCCATGCCAATGGAATGACTGAACTGGTGACATCTGTTTAAGCATGCTTTGTGTGGCTGGTGGAATGCCACCATTGTGCGTACACTTTGTACATCAGGGGTGAAGGGGGGGTTTTCTAGACTTATGGGGGGAGGGTAAAAATTTTTTTTAATGGAGAGTGGGTATAGTACTTAGCTTATGCCCCAAATAACATGTATAAAAGCCCCTGAAGTATTGTGTGGGTGTGTGTGTGAATGTGTGTATATGTCTGGCAATTAAACCTTTATCTTCTGGAAATTAGTGAATTCTTTTTTTCCTCCAGAAGTATTTGTTACAAGATTTGTAAATAAGAGCTCTACTTAGTTTGTTTACCATGACCATGTTGCAGCAAACCTTAAATACCTAATTCCTGCAAGATTTAAGGAAAGACTTGAAGACTTGCCAGGTTAAGCAGCAGCCAAGTTCTCAGTAATTGTTTGCCTTGATTCATCTTTCAGACTTCATTTTGCCACCTCTAAAATTCCCAGTCTTCCTTAATTTTATAGTCCTTAATCTTTTACGTTCTGAGCAGGAAGGGTAAAAGAGGAACCTGCGTAAATATATTTAATTGTAAGTCCGTGGGCTGAAACCGGGCAACCCTTTCTTAATACTGCAATGTTGCTAGATCGTGATCAGACACCAGAGGTTGGGCATTCTCGAAATAACAGTGCTGGAATCTGCAGCATGGTACTAAGGAAGTTAAAGTTTGAATGTAACCACTTTATTTAAAAGTTTTTTTTTTTTAATTTAAATGGGGTTGAAGTGAACATGATTTTGTTCGTGAATTATAGATGCAACATGCATTGGTAGACTTGTGTGATGGTCTTTTGTGATACTTAATTTTTACATATCCCAGTCTCTGTATGTACCTGCATAGACAAAGAAAAACAAACTCCTGCTTTCTTTTATGGAAGGGTTTCCAGGGCTGTGTGTCTGCTCCTGAGCTCTGTTTTAAGTATGTGTATCCTTCGCTTGTATTTTGTATTAAAAAAAATAAGAAAAAAGAACCCTTTATTGTTGAGCATGTTGCCATTGTCCTCCCCCCCCCTTTTATTTCTTTTTGGGACATGAAGCAAGTTATTCTTTTTCTGTATCTTTTTTTCTTTTGTAAACTTTGTTTTGTTTAAAAATGGCTTTATAAAAGGGCTTTTATAACCCAGATATGTGCTCTGTGTACTTCTTGTGATACTCTTAACGCAAACACACTGACATAGAGCTGATCGCCTTGACCTATCAGCTCCCAGTCCAGCCTAACTTGGGGGGGGGGGGGGCCTGCTTCCTGAATGATTCTTTAGGAACTAACAGTAACCATCACTCTTTTTGGTAACAAGAAAATTTTGTCTTGCCTGCCCGTATGGCTCTGGTTGAGCATCGACCCATGCACCAAGAGGTTGCCAGTTCGATTCCCAGTCGGCATGTGCCCAGGTTGTGGGCCTGGTTCCCCGGTGGGGGGCATGCAGGAGGCGGCCAATTGATGTTCTCTCTCATTGATGTTTCTATCTCCCTCTCTCTAAAAGTCAATGAAAGAAAAGCTTGTTTCAAGTCAAAAGGAGAAATTAATACTTGACTCATCAAGGGAGCACTGACTACTGGGTGCATGAGTTCCTAGCTAGCATTTTGCCTCCTGGTCACATCCAATGTTATGAAGTGTGGAGGGCAAATTCAACAATCATATAATTTAGGATGCTATTTATACTCACCAAACAGACATTTGCATTCAACTTTAAATATCCAAAAGAACAACATTCTATTGTAATTTTAGAATTAAATTCTACTTAGGTGCTGAACATGGTAGAAGGTCCAGTTTAGAATTGAGCTGATATTGTAGCTTTTAGGGTTTTATTCTTTTCAGCCTTGCCCCTTGTTTACATTCTTGCCTTGTCGGGCGAATATTGAAATTCAATGCTTTTTGCATGTTGTTGTCCCTCAGTAGTTAATTTCACAATTATTTCTTATAAAGTTATTTGTTCCCAAAGTTGACTTCAGAAGAACATTAACCAGTCACTTCCTCAATATGAGGGTGTTTTATGATTAACATATTAGATTTCTATTTCAGTACAGTACTGAAGAAATACAATCTGGTTTTAAGGATTTCAGAGCCCAGGGGACAAACAGGTTTGGTGTGGCAAAACACGTTTGGAGCTCCCTCGACTCTTATCCACGAGCATTACTATAGAGCAATTTAAGACAAGTGGTATAGTGCTTTGCAGTTCATAAAGAGCTTATTTACATACTACCCCATTCCATTTTCTTAACTGTGACTGGCCAGATGTTTGTCATTCTTCCAATTTTGTCAAAAATAAACTGGTTCAGGTAGGATGTGCTTTGATGTGGCTGGTATAGTACCACGGTTTGCATCAGGTTGTCAGTTCTGTGTTCTTGAAGTGGTCACAGCTCCATTATCTTGTATAAATGGATCCCTTGAACCTTCTTTCTGATAACCTTTTGAGCATTTTGCTGTTGTTCTTTAGCATCTCTAAGTAACATGCATGAACCAGTCCAATGACTTACATCATAGACAATGGGAAAAAATTATTTTCAGTGAGATATAAAAATTTCTTATTAAATACTAAAGTTTACTTGAAAATTCCTATGGTCTCTAGATATGAAGCTTCAACTTCTTTAAAAACTTTTTATTTTCTGATGCCTTAAGATAGTGCCTGTACAGGAAAATACTGGTCATCTTGATTATACAGTCCTTATTTTGTGCCAGTAGAGGGCAGTGTTTGTCCTCATATACTTAGTGAACCCTTGCTCACCACATCTTACTTTTAGATACTTTCCCCTGGGCTCAGTGTCCACTGTATCAGGGCACACTACTTGGGTTAGAGAAGTTCTGTGATCAGTATGCCATCTCAACATCCTAGTGTATGCAGCAGCAATATTTTATGAATTTTAAGTGCAAAATAGCATCTCTTGGTTCATGCACATCTGTGTGCTTACGTTGTTCTCTTTTTACAACTCCCAAATCCTATGTGGATAATATCCCAAAATTAAAGTACACATGTTGAGATTTCAAAATACAGCTGTAAATTCTTGGCCCTAGTTTGAAACAGGTGTTGTCTTTTGAAATTGCCCTCCAACCCAAAGCCTGTCTCTTGCACAAGCAGCACTGATACGTGTTCACATACAATGAACACTGAGGCTCATTTGCAAGGTAATGTGGTAGCTTGTGCCCCTTTATTCTTGATGGCCTGCTTCCCTTTCCCTCCATGATCTTAACAGAATGGACAGGCACCCAAGTGACATGCTTTGGCTGGGCCACCACCAGAAGAAATCATTACTCAAGGGTGTGCCCCCGTCTCAATATTAAAGTCCTGGACAAACATTGTGAAATAAATGCTGTGTTAATTCTGGGGTCAGAGAGTGAGAGGGTGCAGCCGGAGTTTCCATCCTAGTAAAGCAAATAATTACTTAAAAATAAGATAACATAAAATGTTGGAAGTAATAGTTTGCTTTGAGTTAGGTCTAAGCTGGCACCCAGACATGAGTTGTTTAAAAATGTACGGAATAAGTAGATCAAGGAAGATTACACACACAGCATAAACTATTATTGGTAATGTTTTAGATAGTATATGGAATATATATGCGTGTGTATGGACACACAGACCAGTCTTTTTATTAGAATGTATGAGACCACATATTTGGCCAGCACGGAATGGAATGTGTCTAATCGGAACAGGAGTATGTGGTCTGTGTGTCCTCAGGAGATTAGGGTGGGTGGGTTAGGTAAGGCTCTGAAGGAGAAAGTCATTGGAAACAAGAAAAATGATGGTCTAAATTTAAGGATAACTACCAGTTTGGTACTCTAGCTGATTAGTTATGTGATAAGAATGATTCTCACCAAAAACAAACTGAATGTATAGTGATATAATTAATAAAAAGTAGAATGTAAGCCCAGCTGGTGTGGCTCAGTAAATTGAGCCATAGTCCCATGGACTGAGAGGTCACAGTTCGATTCCCTGCCAGGGTGCATGTGAGCTCGATCCTCAGTAGAGGGCATGCAGGAGGCAGCCGATAGAAGTTTCTCTCTGACATTGATGTTTCTCTCTCTCTCCCTTCTTCTCCCTCTAAAACATCAATAAAACATATATTTTAAAAAAAGATTGTGAAACACTAGTCTTTACCTAAAAAGTGTGCAGAGACAGTGACATGCACTGGATCTTCACTTTGTGACTATAAATTGGTTCTCTTGTAGTTCACTAATTCAGCCTAGCGGAATAAAATACTAAGCATTTTTAAAATATGGCTTTACTTCTAAAGTATAAGATTCTAAATGTCTTGGAGTCACGGTGGACTCAATTGATATTCAATTTAGATCTTGGAACATAATCTGGGGCTTCAGTAACCTGACTTCATATCTAATGTATGCCACATCTCAGTTACAAGCTCCACGCTCTCTATTTCGTCTTTTCCTCCCGTGTCTGACCTAATTTACTTCTGTGTGTGTGTGTGTGAATGAACAGTGTCCAGGGGGTTAGTGTTTCTGAAGCAAATATATTGTTTATACATAAACCGGGTAGCCCTAGAAGTGGTTGGGGAACCAGCTGTTGCGTAGAGAGCCACACAGTTGGCCCAAGTACAAGATAAATAGCCTTTCTTGGTAAACCTGGAACAATGCAGAGCTCAGATTCCAAAGCTCCTTTGTAGGGAACTGCTGGTGTGACTTCAGGTATACAGGATATACACAGCAACGAGTTAAAGAGAGTGGTTGTTGTCCTAGACCTTGCACAATGGGCCAGTCTTGGGCTATCAGGCATTCTTCCCTCTCATTCTCTTCCCACACCCTCAAGTGAAGCAATAAGACCTAATATTTGTCTCATGGGTCATTAGCTGTTCTTTAGAAGTCAGCACCACTGAGCAGTCACTGAGAACCAGGTGCCCGGCTCTGGGAGATTTAAGTCTAAGTGGGGACACACTAAAGCCAGACAGTGGGAATGGGAATTCCTAGAACATGTGTTGCTTCCCGAGTTCATCTCTGAGTCAGCCCGCAGTATTTATTGACAATGAAAACGATGGCGACTCTGTTCCAAACCAAAGTCGGGGCCTGCGTATCACGAAGAGTTTGATCTACTCCCCAAAAGGAAAAACAGCCTAAACAGAGTTTAGATCTCAAAAGAGTGCCATTTCTGGGACATGTTTATGGTTTAAGGAACTAAAGCATGAAATGTTTAAAACTGGATCATTCCAGGGAATTTATGTGACAAGTATTAAAAGTACAGCAGGTGTTAGGCCGCGGAGTTGAGACCAGCACAGCACGCAACGCTCCCAGCAGCAGAAGCCCCCGCTAGTTTTATGGCCACGCCCACTCTCCTTTCCGTTAGCTTTATGGCCACTCCCACTCTCCTTTCCTCACTTGTGACCTGCTTCAGAGAAGATCTGCGCTTGCCGAAGCAGATCCGTTAACGGTGATCTTGGACAAGTCACCTACGCAACCCCCCTCCCCATCTCCGCCCAGCCCTTGATCGATTCTTCTTTTTATATTAATGGAAATAATAAGCAACCGATTATCCTCTGCTTCAGAGGGACACCTGAGAGAGGCGGAGTGCACCTGACGCCTAGGCAGGAAGCTCCCTGTGCCCCCAAGTTGCTGTTGGCATTGCAGACCGACTGGCCTCAAACAAAAGCCGCAACGTTCCTTCAGGCAGCGTCCATGCCTGCGAAAAGTCATTCCTGCAGAACTGAAACCCTCCTAGCTTTGTCTCCGGAGTACAAATGAGTTATTTATTAGTAAGAACACTCCTGCAAAAGGGTAAAGTTTAACCAGACCATAATTGAGGGTGGTTTCAGAGAGGAGGGGAGAATAACAGTAACTCACCTGAGCTCATAAAAGGTGTTTTGTTTTTTTTGTTTTTTTTTAAGTGTAAGTACGCAGGACTGATTGGAGTTTGAACATTTCTTCAGCTTCTCATTGGAAGAGTATTTTCATCCAGTGGTGACCAACTGGATTCCTAGTGATGAGACATCTATTTCAAGTGAGGGAGCACTCCTTTGGCCTAGAAAACTGATTAGAAATACTTAGCAGTGGCATACTTTTTCTATATGAAATCGCTCTGTTTTGTGTCTTTGGTCTTTCACATTGAATACCAGAAAGGAAGCCACAAGATTATCCGTCGGAGCCATTATCAGGGACGGAACCCAGGGGCTCGGCCGAGCTGT